TGCAAAGAATGTGGCTTTGGTCATCTGAAAGACTTTGTGATGATGATGATGATGATGGTGGTGATGATTATGATGATTATAATCCTCAATCTTTTTGCTGACACCAGTACAACTGTTGATGGTATTTCGCTTATAATAGTAAGGCAGAAAGATAAGCAAATTTGGCTTACTGAAGGAGGTAATTAGTATCATTCATTGCTTGTATAGTCTTTATTTGATGCATATCCTCTTTTCATCTATGAGCTGAGGTCAGTGTTGTACATAATGCTCTGTCCTATTTCCTCCCTGAACACCCTTAGAGGGAGGTTGGCTGAGAAAGGATGATAAGCTAAACAACCTTGGACCTTTTGCTCTTAATCCAGCATCTTAACCACAACACTACACAGGACTGTTCTGCTCCAGATATGATTAATCCAGTATTCAGGTTATATATTTTTGTAGCTTCAGAAAGGTTCCTTTGCAATACTTGAAAATTGATAAATCAATCTTAATCGTGGCTTTCTAGTTGCATGACCGAAGGGATCTGTCTCAATATAAGAAATCAGATTTAAAATAGTTTGGAAAACTCCTTAATTTTATTAAAAGTACCACTTAAAACAGATGAATTCTAGTTTAGTTTAGAATGTACGCTTTGAATCCGAGACCTCATTTTATCACTGTGCGTGCTTCTATTGTAACTTTCTAAGTAGAGTACTACATCAGTTATCCAGGTTTTTACAATGTGCTTCAGAAAAAAAGCTTGGAAAATAGACAACATTAGTATGGAGTTTTCTGACAAAGCTGTATATGCTGGTTCATTGGTAAGACAGACTTTTGATTGTTAATGTGGGAAGATCATGGGATTCCTATTCATTCTTTCAATACAGAGAGTGAACATATTCAAATAGTGTATTTTATTATGCCAAATGACCAGAAGTCTACATGGAGCATTATTTCAGAGGTGCTATGGGATAGTCTGTTCTCTTTTGCCAAGATAAGAAAGAATTCTGAACAAAGAAAAGGAAATGTCTCTCTGTGCTGGAGAACAAGCTGCTCCATGTCAAATATATGAGGTGAGGTAGGCAAGCAGCATCTGGAAATTGATTTTGTATATGAAGGCTCCTAAGCCCACCATTTTTCACCATATTCCCAAATCAGGGGAACATTTATAGCAGTCATTCCTCTTATTGATATTCTGTATATGCAGAAGAGAGACAGAATTCATAAATAAATGAAAATGGGCAAGCATCATTCCCTCTGCCTTATTAGTCTGCCATTGACAAGACAATTCTGAATTCTTTGGAATGCTCTAAATAAAACTTTTTGGTACTGTAGTACAGTACCTTTTCTATGCTTCGGGCTCAAATTAGCATGCTTGGTTCATATTACGTGAAGACCTAACTATGGAGAAGACTCCAATGCTGGAAAAAGTGGAAAAAGTGAGAAGAGGATGACCAGCAGAAAGATGGATGGATTTAATTATAATGGCACTGAGTGCACCTTTGAAAGACGTAAAAGACCAGGTTAGGGACAGATCATCACAGAGAAAAATCTATGAATGGAGAAATACTGAAAGTGAAATGGTGATTTTTGGGTTTGCTAATTAAAAAAGGGGTTGGATATGGGACAGAAGGAATCTCTATAATGTGATATGAAAGATGGAAGAGGGGTAATAATTTTATTTGTAACTGCTGCAAAGAAAATCAGAAGTTGCTTCTTTAGTTTTTTTCTTTATTGCTTTTTTACTTTTATATTTAACTTTTCTGTATATATTTTCATGTTATCTATGTAAAATTTTTCAATAAAAATACAGTACATGAAAAATCTATATGGTTGAAAATTACTTGATGACTCATAATTCTCTTATTTGTTTGAAAGATAAAAAAGCATGTGTGTTAGCAAAAATTTTTACAATCCCTTGAGATGCTTTTTAAAAACTATCTGTTTATTAAAGACTTGAATTGGTTTTTTTTCTACAATAGGTGAGTGTCAGTGACTTCAGGTAATACCCAATAAATCTATTGCTAAAAAAAATACAATTTCATTGAAGTTAATAGAAACAGGTTTTGCTACAAAATCAGGAAAAGAATGTTTCTTATTCCAGATGTTGGACTTTGTTTCCCATAGGCTTAGACAACCTAGACAACGATCAAGAACAAATGGATTTGAAGTGTCATGCATCTTTGTGTAAATTAACTGATTTGAAACCATTTGTCTTGTTTTTAAAATAAAGCAGTTCCACTGATATTCCTGGAATTAATCCCTATTTTGATATTGGTTCAGTTGCTCTGAACCATACAGAGCTATTCACTCAGCCTGCTGATAAGTAGTGTTAATTCGGTTTCATTTGGGAATCATATTTCTGTTTGTCTGAAAGGCTAATGAAAGTCACTAAAGAGCAAAACTGTATACATTCACTCCTCATTAGATAATGAAACATCTGCAAGAAAACAATCAAGCTCAGAGGACAACACAGATTCCACAATTCAACTCTGAGTTACGAATATTCTCTTCTGTTGACATACATAGTTTATATTTTGATTTATTTTCAGGATCAAAAGTACATAGATAGTCCTTGTGTACAACTAAAATGTTATGGCAATGACTGCAAGTAAATGTATTTTTTGTACCAAGCTTACGGGATCAGAGTTTCAGACAAGCAAAGCTCTTAGCAGAAAAAGAAATGTGAGAGAGTAAATTCTGGTTTTGGCACAAATATTTTGGTGTTTTTTTTAACTATTACCTGCTAGGTCTGTGGGTACAATTTAGACTTAAAATAAATGGAAATTTTGCATTTAGATGATTCAGATTCTATGCGAATAACATTATATTTGCAATTAATAAATTTGCATAAATTTACTAGGTTTCATTTTCCTTACCTATTTCTTAAGGGTTGAAGATTCTTACAGGATTGTATCTAAAGTACACATCTTAAAAGCTTGAATAGAAAGTTAAATCTCCTAGTTCTATTTTATTAAATGTGTATGCAGACATGTATAGACATTTCATGTATATTTATGTCCTTACAATGTTTCTGCCATCTCTACAGGTGAAATATAAGTCTAAATTGGGAATAATTCATCTGCTTGGTTCTAGCTCTTCCAAAGTGCTAATTACTTTATGATCACAATTATTGCTCTTAAATATTAACAGGTCTTCTAGCAAAAAAGAAAAAAGGTCGCACACCAAAAACAAAAAACTAAGGTGTTCTTTTAATGTTTCAAAGCCCACCTGGATTTGAAACATAAGGATTGTGATATCTGAATAAAAACATTTATTTATTTGAAAATTGATTAGAAAAAAAATACTAGCTTCTGTTTTAATGCTTACATAAAATTCAATGCATCGTCTTAATATTTAATTAACATGTAAACAATATTTCTTTATATTTAAGGTCATGTGATATATCCAATGGAGAGCTTGGAGACTAAACAGCTGCTTCTTTTCCACTGTGTCTTTAGTCGGAAAAATATTGTCCAGTGCAACAATGTCACTCTAAAAAGAAGGGGAGCTTTCAGTGTCAGTGATCTCTGCCACCCTAGTGCTGTTTCATCCATTGTTGTCCCAAAACCTCATATTCGTAGAAGGAACCCTTCTGCTGGAATCAGAATATATAACTGTTACAGTATTTTAAATATTCATGACTATATTAAGCTGACAAATTTTTGAGACTCAGAAACAGAGAATTATGACATTCTATGTGCCATTGGATCACAACCCCCAACAATCCCAGTCCACATAACCCAAGGAACTGGGGAAATGTAGTTCAACATTTATATGGTCACAGGTTCATCACCCTTGCCACAGGGCATTGTAGTAAAAAAAAAAGGATTCAATTAAGTAGAACATGTCATCTGTGATACTGCTTACAATAATCTCATAAGATGCATCAGAGTAATCCCCAAAGCTGATGCCATTTTATATATATATATATATGTCTCCTTTAAAATGTCAGATTCGTTGATTTAAACAAAAAAAACCATTCAATTTAGGCACCAGCAGTATTGATAATTCAGTAAATGGACTTCATAAAATGTTTTTCTAACATTTCATAATACCTGTAGGTATTCTGTTTGTTTCGAAGTACTATATCAAAGTATTAAAAAAATATTTTCTTTACTAAGCAAAATAATTACAAGCTTAACATTTACACTTCTTTTAAGGTTATTAAATCTTGTAGAGTAGCTGTAGAGTATCTACATTTCTAATTTATCTACAAAGAGTTTTTTTATTTATGATTTTTAAAAATAATATGGATGCTTTTGAACTTTGGTGTTGAAGATGACTTCTGAGAATACCATGAATAGCCAGAAAACAAACTGATCTTAGAACAAATCAATGCAAAGTTCTTATTCAAAACTAAAATGCTCAAATGTTGAGGTCAATAATTTTGGGAAATGTAGGAGGACAGAGAAAAAGAGGACAACCAGCAGCAAAGTGAATAGACTCAACTAAAGTGGCAATGGGTACATTGTTTGAAGATCTGATAAGCCAGATTGGGGATAGATCATCCTGGTATCTATATGGTTGTTAAGAATTGATACTGACTTAATAGCACATAATATATTTACAAATGAAAATAAAAATTTTAAATATAGTCCATTTCTGTAACTGAAATAAAAATGCCATAATTAGAAGTTTCAAATGAGAAATTTAAAATATCTTCTTGCCTTTTTTGTCCTTTAGTAATAATTTAGTACATGTCTTTTAAAATGCAAACACTGTTCAAAGAATCCCTTTTGCAAAAGCTAGGCTCTCTTCTTCCCTTCTCTTCTCTTCTCTTCTCTTCTCTTCTCTTCTCTTCTCTTCTCTTCTCTTCTCTTCTCTTCTCTTCTCTTCTCCCCTCCCCATTGAAACCACAAGAAAATGATCAGGAGAGCAATTTAAGTGATATTCATATTAAAGTAGCAAACTTAATCAGGAAGAACGAAGAACATTCAGTTTCCACTTTCAAATTTACTTGATAATTCATGCATGATGTTATTGGAAGCACATAAAAAATAGCTAAAGAAAAAAAATAACTATGAAAAAATGGACCAATATATCAAATTAAATAAAATGTATGATCCTGGAAATATTATTCTGGAATACTTGTCAATGGCATGAGTGTCGATTCTCATGCTGCTATATCTCTGGACTTTCCTCCTACTTGAATTTCCTTCTGATCCAAGACCCAGCTGAACCATCATTCTGTCTTCTTTGCTTCCATTTTCAGACACATATTGCCCTAATTCATTTACTTCTCCATCACTGTAGCTGCCTTCCATCCCAGTCATTTGCTTTGGCTGTGAAATTGCAGAAGCACAAGAAAGCTGTGGAGGAAAAAGAAGGAATGGCATTCAAATGGACATAACTACATTTATTGGTTATTGTCGGTTCCTGCCATAATTTTATATGACTTTGTTTTAAATTTAAATATTTAGATTATTTAAAAAAACATTTTATGCATCTATATAAATATGTTACCAAAGCAGCAGAATATTTGAAGGTTAAGATTGAATTGTGGGATCCTTGGTGCTCTCTGAGCTTTGTTGGTTTCTTGCAGACATTTTATTACCCGACTAGGATATATATCGTCAGAACTCCACTCCCTTCTAGCACTGATGATGTTATCTAGTTGGGTAATGAAATATCTACAAGAAAACAACCAAGCTCAGAGAGACCAAGGACCCCACATTAATATCTCAGTTGTTTCACTCAGCTCCTTATGACAGTAACATTTACCTTCTCGCATTGCTTCCGTTCTTTTCGCTCTTGCACCGTGGTCAGGTAATTCACTGCAGCATACTCTAATACTGAGAGGAAGACAAACACAAAACTGACCCAGAGGTAAATGTCCACAGCTTTGATGTAGGAAACTCGAGGCATGGAGGCATTGACACCAGTGATGATGGTAGACATGGTCAGTACCGTCGTGATACCTAAGGACATTACAATTATCCACTTGAAGATACTCATTTTTAAATAATGCATTTATTTCATCAAAGGGGTAGCTTTTCTTTAAGAAAAGAACATGTTGACTTAAAGAAGTTGGTTTTATTTATATTGATGATCTGCCATCTTTATTCGTGCTTCTGTCTTTTTAGGGGAAACTTAAACTTAAACTTAAAGCCTGTTTGTACACACCCAGTTTTGCCCAGATTGATGCATAGATGCCTTGAGGATAGTTAATTCTGCTTTTGGGGAACAGAACCAGACTAGGATTGCCATCCTAGACACACTTTGGTGGAGGAAGTAAGACGTTGAAAACAGCAAGACCTATTTTTGAGAAAATAATTGTTGGATGGGATCTCACATCTGCAGTCTGAAGCAAACTTAACTCTGATAAAACTCATTGGACTTAGTATTGTTTTCAAATAAGCAACTAATTTATAATCCCCTTTAAATACAAATGGCTAAATCTACATAGCTTTAGTCCATGTGATTATCTATCTATCTATCTATCTATCTATCTATCTATCTATCTATCTATCTATCTATCTATCTATCTATCTATCTATCTATCTATCTATCTATCATCAGCTCCCACCTGTTTTTTATCCATAGGCTAGCTAAGACTTCCTATGGCAGTGGTTCTCAACCTTTTTAATGCCGCGACCCCAACCAGTCGTAAGTCAAGGACTAAACCAGTCGTAAGTCGAGGACTAAACCGGTCGTAAGTCGAGGACTACCCAACCGGTCGTAAGTCAAGGACTTTCCCTGCCCGGGAGCGCTGCACATGCGTGGTTCCGCCCCCTGCGCCAGCCGAGGCGTAGCTGGCAAGTGGCAGAGACGGAGCAGGCCAACCACCAGCTGGCCCAGCCCAAGGGAGGTAAGGCACCTGCCGGAAAAGGGGGAAAAATGGCGGACAGCCTTGCTTGGCGACCCCCGTGAAATGGTCGATCGACCCCAAATGGGGTCCTGACCCACAGGTTGAGAACCACTGTCCTATGGGGAAGAAGAGAAGAGGTAAAAACATTACAACTAAGTTTATTTGTCAATACATGCTGTCCTACATTGCAGTTGTTCTAAATAAAGCAGAGATAGATTCCATCTCTTACCTAAGGGAACTCTTGCAGGCACAGCACGACGGTCTATCCAAAAAGAAACCCAAGACAACATGACCATCAGAGTGGCAGGGAAATAGGTCTGAAGCAAGAAGAAGAAGATATGTCGTCGTAATGTGAAGTTGATGAAGAGACGGTTATACCAACCTGCAGGAGAAAGAGGAAAAACTAGATCTCAGTGAAGAGTACCAATGATAACAACCACATCAACAACATGGAACTCTTACAGTATTTATTTTCATAGTACTATGCTTTGAATTATCGCCAAAAAGGGGCATTTTTCCACTTTAATAATACAAACATGCAAGTAACATTTAGAACTCCTGTGGATTCAGTTAAGGTGTTTTTAAAAATTGAGCTTTGATTTACCCAGGTTTGATGAAATCAAATAGTCTGCTGCAAATAGATCTGTTTCCCCCCCCCCTTAATTCCTGTAAATATTTTTGTATATTGTGAAAAGGGGGGGGAAGTCTCCACGTTCTCTATCTCTGTGAAGCAATTGTTGCAATTGTTTTGACACTTCTTGCTGTCAAAATGCCCTCATTCACACTGGAACAGGTGGAAAGTGACGTTTTGCCAAATAGAAATGCCCTACTGCCATTAAGTTCTACTAAGAGTCCTATTTGTACAAGAGTGATTTCTGTTCTTTCTTCTCTTCAGCCTTTCTATGTGAACATGTTTAGAATTCATTTGACTGAAACATTTCTTCAGACAATAGCAATAGCTATTACATACCACTTCACAGTGCTTTGCAGCCTTCTCTAAGTGGTTTACAGAGTCAGCATATTGCTCCTAACAGTCTGGGTCCTCATTTTACCGAGTTATTATATCTTTCAGCACTCCATTTGTAAGTACCTGATGAGCAATTATAAAGCTGTTCTCGAATGCAACCTTAATCTTGCCAAGGAAATCTTATATTTGTGAATATTTAAGTTATATAATCTTATTGGATTATATACCTTACATCTTCTTTCTTAGTAAAACCTGTCAAATAATGTTACCAAAGTCCTTTTTTGGCCTGATGGACAATTTGGCAAAAATAGATTCTTGGAAATAAAAAAAATGGCAACTCTAGATAATATACTTTCTTTTCAGAAAGGACTAAAACTTCCTTGAGAATTGGTATCATATGGATGTCAAAGAGTTGGAAAATTAGATAGTTTTACAGAAAGCATCATGGACTTTGTTATATTATATCAAATTAAACTCTTACCTCCACAATTATCTATGCCAGTGTTTCTCAACCTTGACAATTTTAAGGCATGTGGACTTCAACTCCCAGAATTCCACAGCCAGCAATGCTGGCTGTGGAATTCTGGGAGTTGAAGTCCACATGCCTTAAAATTGTCAAGGTTGAGAAACACTGATCTATGCTAACCGGAAGAGAAATAGAGACCAAACTAAACTATATGAAATAGAAAAACTTTGAATTTGCAGATAAACCAGGGAAATGGTTGGCATATGAATTGAGAAAGGAGAGAGAAAAGAAAACAAAATTAAGGCTTCCGAAAGGCAAGATTATACTAACAGATAATGTGATTATTCAGTATTCATGACTTCTATTTAAATTTGTATAACAGATAGGAAGTTTCTCTGGAAAATATTGATGAGTACATGAAAAAACAGAGTCTACCAAAAATTTCACAACTTCAGTAACAAATTATGAACAAGCTTTGAAATATCAAAAGCTATAAAAAAAGATTAAAAGTGGGAAAGCACCAGGTCTGGATGGGTTGTGAACTCATATTATAAATGCTTAGAGGATCAATTTTTATACCTCTTAAAAATGTGATGAGTTCCATTTTGCAAGGGTCTGCTATGCCAGAATCCTGGAAAAAGCCAAAATTGCCAATGGAAGAACATGGTCTCATTTCAGCCAAGAACTATAGACTGATATAGTTGCTGAATAATGTGTATTAAATATTCGCAACAATATTGGCTGATAAACTAAAAAAGATTTTACAGGATTTCATTCATGATGATCAATGTGGGTTTCTACCCAAAAGACAATTAAGAAATCACATGAGAAAAGTATTGGATGTAATAGAGCATTTACAACAGCAAAATGAGAAGCAAGCGGCCTCGATTCCGTGAAAGTAAAAAATATCTTAATAATTATTTCTGTATAAATCAAACATATTTCTTTGATAGTCAATAAAAATAAAGGCGATGTCTGCTGAGAAATACTGAGTAAAAGGAAGAACTGTGACCTTTGCAATAGATAGTGAAAGATTGTGGTTGGCACACATTTCCCACAGGAACAGAGTGCGGAAACAGATAGCATAGGAACTGAGGAACTATGCCTTGTTCACAGGTACAGTGACACGAGTAGAAGCGGTAGTGAGGAAAGTAATAATCTGACTTTGAAGTGAATTTATATACTAACCCTGACCATGTTATTGCTAAGATGTATAAATTATTATTGAAAATAAATATAGAAGATAATTAAGTCAAAGAATGTATGATTAAATGAGCAAAAAACTTTGGATATAATGTAACACTTGATCAGTGCGAGAATACGTGGAGTAAAGGATTGAAATTTACACTGGATTATAACTTGAAAGAGATTTTTTATGAGATGATGTATTGTTGAAATTTAATACCTGATGAATTGTAAAATATATATAACAGTGTGTCAAACATACATCTGCCTGTTTAACTAGAGTGGCATTCTTTCTGGGGGAGAGGGGGGGGAACACCTGCAGAGGGTGAAGATCCCAAAGAGAGGTCTGGCCAGATGGTGTGGGTATTTGTGACAGACAGACCGGCTTTCTTCCTCCCCTTGCTATGAATCCAACCAACACCAAGTTACAACTCTGCAGATAGAGATGTGCAATTCAAGCCTGAGTTTGGGATTCATCTGCTGAGCTTTTGTAGGAAAGAAAACAAATTAGTTCCCATTGTAAAAGCATGAAGAAGTAAGCTTTGTGATCCAAGTGCACTTACCTGTGCTGCTATAAAAAGCAAGTTTGGTGGTAGTGTGAAACTCTTGTATAAGGAACTGAGATAATGATATTCTATCATCTGTTTTCAAGGACTCATTCCCATTCTTCCAGTACAGCATGAGATCATCTTCAGTATAAGCATCTACAGAGGAAGGAAATATTTATGGCAATGAATCCAGATAACATACAGCACAGAGCTTAGTGCAATCCTCATCAGCCTGGTACCCATAAGTGTAATGTCTTATATTTCAACCTCAGTCTATTTCACATACATCATAATTTAGTTCTTGCTATTACAAACACGCTAGCAGTTCTTCCCAATGCAATTATAGTACAATCAATGCTCTGCTTAACAATGAGGGGCAAGTTCTATCCCTTGAATATTATTGATGGCAGCATAAAAAAAGCTGGAAACATTTCCTAATTGTGAAATTGGACAGCCACCATTTTATGTAGTACTTAATATGAATCATTGTACGTATACTTAAGTCTTCTATGTTTAGTTGCAAAATATGGATCTGGGATCCAATATCATTTGTCAGTGAGTTCTTAAAAGAACTGTTGTAATCTAATTGCTACCTCTGTAGTTTTTGACTGTGAGAGATGCAATATCCAGTTTGGTTGCCATGTGTGTAGACTTTTAGCCACTTAGTTAAAGTAGAATGTTGCCTGGGATATACCATTGTGGAGGTAGTCTACACTTCATATCTTAGATAATTAGCTTCCTTAGATATCAGATTATAAAATCTATCCTATGTGTCATATTATGCTTATTTTCTTATGGTTTTATCTTAATTTAATATTTTATCTTGTATATTTTATTGTCCACATACAGGTAGTCCTCAAGTTACAACAGTTCATTTAGTGACTGTTCAAAGTTACAACAGTACTAAAAAAAGGGACTGATGACCACTTTTCACACTTACAACTGTTGCAGCCTCCCTGTGGTTGCATGGTCAAAATTCAGAAACTTGGCAACTGACTCATATTTAGGACAGTTGCAATGTCCCAGGGTCAAGTGATCACTTCTTGTGACCCTCTGACAAGCAAAGTCAGTGGAAATGTCAGATACACTGAAGAACTGTGTTACTGACTTAACAAAACTCCAGTGATTCACTTAACAATTGTGGGAAGAAAGATCATAAAATGGGGCAAAAGTCACTTAATTGTCTCACTTAACAACAGAAATTTTGGGCTCAATTATGGTCATAAGTCAAGGACTATCTGTACTCTCTCTCTCTCTCTCTCTCTCTCTCTCTCTCTCTCTCTCTCTCTCTCTCTCTCTCTCTGTCTTGATATATATTTATATCCTCTGTAGATGCCATAAGCTAAATAAATAAATAAAAATGTACAACTAATTTCAACACAATACCTTATTGTCACTATTGCCATAACAAATCAGTAAGCAAAGGAATAGTTTTATAATTATCAGATTATTTGCTAAAATCTGCATGACAGGCTACAGTATTTACTTTTTTTAAAACAAAAGCTTTAAAAAAAGTTGGTCAGTTTTATGTGAAACAGCTAATCAGTCTAGACACAGATCCTTAGGGACTAAGAAGAAGAAGAAAACTGAATCTGCAAACAACAGCAGTTACAGTATTAAAACACCTTCTGGGAAAATAACATGCAAACCTACTTAGAAATCAGTTTTAAGGAATCAATCAATGTATGGTTTTTAAGTACTGTTTACTTACAGCTTTCAATTTCCAGGGAACATGTCTGTGTGTCAAGGGGAAAACGACTGAAATCCATGTTACACATTGCTGTTACAGTGACCCTAGGAACACAGTAAATATGTGTTACTATTAAAATGAGAAATGGGTGAAGAAAAGAGGAATAATGCAGGTTAGGTCCACATTCCATTTTTAAAAAAAGTTTTAATGGGGTGCTGCATAATAAACAATGTCATTCTGTTATGCTTGGCTATAGTAATTTCCATTATTTTCAACAAGATACACACCCAGAACTGCAGTATCCAAAGTAGCAGTATAAATATTGAATAAACTCCAATTAAGTAATGGAACTTGCTCCTAACTAAAGATATGCAGCCTGCAGGACAGAGGTGTAACATGGATGTGTTGAGGTGTGCCAATATGCACAGTGGCAGTATATTCTGGACAAGATGCAGTTTCCAGATAGTCTTCAAAGGCAATCACATTTAGAGCACATTGTAGTAATCTGCTTGAGGTGTCTAAGGCATGAATGACCATGAACAATGCTTCCAGTACAGGAAGCAACTGGCTCACAAAGTAAAACTACAAAAGCCTTCCCAGCCATAACTGCTAATTAGTCTTTAAAAAGGAGTTATGAGTCCAGGAGGGTCCCCAGACTGTATACCAATTCTGTTCATAATACTGCAACCTCATTCATAAGCAAGGATAGAAAAACATGGGCCCTTAAAATCCACAGCCACCCAATCTTGAGAAAGAATAACCACAGCATCACTTGGTTGGCCTAAGGCAGGGGTGTCAAACTGCCGGCCCGCGGCCGAATGCATCATAGCAAAACCACGCCCACTCCATTGCCAGCAGTGGCAAAAAGGGTGCGATACGTCGCGACACGTCACGAGATATTGTGAGCTTGACACCCCTGGCCTAAGGGATCTAGAGCTCTGTCTCACCCTATGCCACCAGGCGATCTCATCTAGATCTGTGGGAACACGTGCCATTGCCCCAGCCTTGCCTCCCCCCGTGACCCCCTCCTCTCCAGCAGCTCCCCTGAAGGAGAGTCACCCATGAGCGTGGCCCACACGGAGCAGTGCGGCCAAGGACATGGCAGCCAGGCAGCGTAGACAAGACTCTGCCCTCACACCCCATCATGCAGTTGATGCTGCAGGGCGCAGGCAGAGGGTGTGGCTGCCATAGCGCTGCTGGGCTGCCTGGGTGATCTGCGATGAGCCCTGGAGGCGGTAAGTGGCCTGTGGGAAGGCGGGGCGGGGGATGAAGGGCAGAGTGGGGGCAGGGCAGGGGGTGGAGCGGGGACGGGGCCACTTTTTGGGCACTCGGTCTCTAAAAGGTTCGCCATCACTGCCTTAAGGTATAACACTCTTCATTCAATATTTCATCTCTTACCCATAAACAAATCCTTAAAACGTTGTCATCCAGTCCTTGTCAGCAAAAGTCCATTAATGGTTATCAGAAATAACAATATCAGTTTTAACCATGATCAAGTAAACCACCTTTATATTCCTTCCTTTTATATTTAACAATCTTGATTCTTAGTTCCTTCAAATAATGTCTCATATCTTGATTTGATTTCCTTTCTCCTTTGTTCTTTTTTACCAAGTCTTTCAACACTTTAACGGATACAGGAAAATTATCCAAGTCACTCTTCTGGTTTGTTATTTGTAAGTCCTTTTTAAGTATTGAAACATTAGCCAGATTCATTCGTATAGCTAGTATATCATTTTTTTCTAGATCATTCTTGTAGCCTTTCATTTTTAAATCCAATTCAAATTTCAGTCTTGTCCAGTAGAACTTGTTCCTCTTTCATAACATTGTTTACACATACTCTATCTATGATGGCAGATATTCTTAAAATTAACTTCTGAGTCCTTTGTGCACAAATACCTTTCAGTATATTAAACGTTAAAGCATTTTGCTCCACCCTATGTTAGCAAGTCACATTTAAGTGTTCTTCTCCTTTAATTATAATCTTTAATTCCTTCTGACTCCCTTCAGTATGCAACCTTCAAAATCCCATCTTATCAGTATTTTTAATTTGTAACAACAACAATTTGAAGGATAATTTTAATAAATTAATTTGATTATAATTTCTTTGATTGTTGTAAGCTACCAACAGTCATTGAGAGTCAGTTAGCATACAAGTTTAAATTATGGTTATATACACAAGAATGTGAAATCACACTTGCCATTTCTTTAGTTGATGTTGGTCTTTGTATACATTGAGTTCTTCCCAAGAACTTAGGATGTTGTAATGTATCAGTGCAGTATATGCGGTGTGGCCTTTTGTAACTGATGGATAGAAATTTTGTCAATGAGCAAATTTTCTAAATGACATCCAAGCTATTTTGGTAATGGCATCCTGTGTCCCAATAACCATTAGGACCACAACTGCCGGTTTGTGCGATAATCTTTGAGCTTCACGTTTCAGATCTTGATAGTTTATGATCTTCTCAGTTCTTTGACTTCTATTCTATTATCCCCTGGTATTGCCGCATCAATTATCTACATTTTTTTTTCTTTTCAACCATAGTTAAATCTGGTACATTATGTGCGAAAATTTTATCAGTTTGTATTCAGAAATCTCACATTATTTTAACTAGCTCATTTTTTACTACTTTTTCAACTACATGTTCCTGCCAATTTTCATTACTGCCAGATGATAATTTTTACAGATGTTCCAGTGAATCATTTTGACAACTGTTATTATGTCATTGTTTATGACCAATTTGTGTGATCTTCTTGCATGAGCTGATCTATTTTTTTTCTGCTTCTTTGACCAATTATTATTACAATTACATCTTACCTCAAGCTGTAAAGCACTTGCCCATCTGGCTGTACTCGAAGCATCACATTATCTGTCGTTGTGTCATGGATAAAGGAACGCTTTGAATGGACAAAGAACATGTCAGGCACCCAGATCTTTTTCACAAGTCTGCCATCAAATGTCATACTTTGATTATTGGTACTTGGAAATGACAATCTTTCATCTTTCCAGTAATGTCTCAGGTAAAGAGTCATGGTGAAATCCTAATTAAGATAAAAAAATGGAAAAAGAGACATTTTTATTGACATTCCTAGCTTTTTTTCCAGAAATATTATTTAATCACATATAGCAAATAATAAAAATACAAAAAAACTAAGCGTTTAAGCACCTAATGGAGTAAACAGTTAGAAAAAGAATTTTAAAAATTCTCATTTACTTTAAAAATGAGAAAAAAACTGTTAAAATATTTGATTGAATGGTAATTATCTGTAATTTTTTAAAAAAAACATAAAAACAATTACATGAGTAAAACTAAAACAGAAGCCACTTTGATACTGCAAATTTCAACCCCTGCATTATGTTACATTAACCCTACAATAAATAGGGTTCCCTGCATGGAAGGAGAAGAAATGACGCCAGCAGCTCCTATGTTCTTGCAGGAGGCTCTGGTGGGAGTTCCCCTGTTTATAAATGTGCTCAAACGATTATAACACTTGTGAATGTTTTCTGTTATGTTCAGGTATTTCTGAGCCAAGACTTATGAGTGGCATTTGCAAAAAGCATTAGGTTCAAACAAAACCTAAATTGGATTCCATTTTATTTATATTTGTTGAAAATTAAATATTGTTGATACAATTATTATCCAGCCATGTTTATAATAACTAACCCCTTCTTTGCTATTAATAATTACAATTGAATGAAACTTTAGGGAGTTGCATAAAGCTTTAGGGTGATTCTGGAACATCTAGTTGCATACATCTGGGTCTGATATTGCTAACTTTATATTGAATTTCATGAGCATTTATGGGAGTGGGATGAATTTATGATACAGGAGATTGACTTGTTCCCAAAGACCGTGCCTGAATTACTTTTGTAAATACATATGAATGTGCAAAAAACTACCTTCTTGACTACTCCAGACAATGCTGATTTCAATAAATGTCTTAGACTCCAGGGAATCCCAGGTGTATTCATGAACTAAATTAATCATATTCCAACTATCCATTTGCATTCTGAATCATAAAATGGATACTTACCATGTCAACCTCTGAGATGCTGTCCAGACTTTCAACTTGTACATCAACTCCAACAGGAATTGCAGGGCCTGGATAAACATAGAGGATATCTATGTCAACCATTAGGCTAGATGTTTAAAAAGAGAAAAAGCAGTGCCTATTTTTTTTTTATTTATAGAATTTTTAAGGTCTCCCATTCACAGTTTGGGACTCTTGGTGGAAAACATCATTAGGAACCAAAACCAATAAAATCAAAAATAAATATCACAGGACAGGTAGTCATTAATTATCATTTGTTCAGAGACCATTTGAACTTCTTTTATTAGATTTTATCCCACCATTTTTACTTTAAAAGTAGATAATACTTTTACTTCCTCTTGCTACTTTCTTCACAACAATAACCCCGTGAGGAGGGTTGGGCTGAGAGACAGTGACAAGATACTGCAACTGTCATAAGTGTACTCCAATTGTCAAGCATCTAGATTGTGAACTGTGGGGTGTCAGGAGACTATGAATTATAGTCTTGTCTTAGGCATGAAAACCAGCTGGTTTGCATGCCTAAAATGAGATTATAATTCATAGTCTCCTGGTACCTCACAGTTCACAATCTAGATACTTGGCAACTGGATTACACTTATGACAGTTGCAGTATCTCGTAGCCAGCTGATTGCCATTTGTGACCTTCCCTGCTGATTTCAAAAAGTCAGTGGGGAAGCTGGCAAGGAAAATCACAAGATGTTCCTGTAAATCGCTCACACTACTGCAGCTTTTTTTCTTGAGAAGTCTGGCTAAGGAGTGCATGTATGCCCACAGTACAATTTAATATCGTCAGCATCCAGGTAGTCCTCAACTTTCAACAGCAATTAGGACTGGAATTGTGGTTGATAAACAATGTCATAAACCACAATGTAACTTAATAACCATGTTGCTTGTTGACGGCAGGTCTATTAGTCCCAGTGAGGACTAGATGTGTCCTTAAACAAGGACCTCACATGATCAAAACTTCAAACTTACTGCTCACTTCCCCATTGATTTTGCTTGTTGGAAGCCAGCAAGAAATGCCAGAAATTGCAATCATGAAGGCTCACTGTGATGTTATAATCATTACTGGACACCAAGCACGTGGATCATGAACACTTGACCTCAGAACATTGCAATAATCAGAACTCTGAGGAATAGTCATAAGTCCCTCTCATTCAGTGCTGTCATAACTTCGAATAGTCTCTGATTGAATGGTTCTAACCTGAGGACTATTAGTACTGTAGTAATCATTTTTATCTCCATGTTGGGAAATGGCCTCGCCGAATGTCTTCAGATAGATGTTAAACATTTTCCCAAATTCCTTGCCATGACACCCCCATATTAATACCACCCAGTTTTTTCAGCTTAACAACAGGTAGAAATTCAATCAGTAAATTTCTCAGTACCAGAATGCAGTGAGCAAAAAAACCCTGATGCAACATTTCTGTCTGTCTTGCAATATTAGCAATCCTTGTACCCTTCAAGACTGTAATTTAAACTTATATCAAGGATACCAGGTTGGAAATGGATGCATTCAGGTTACAATCATCTCTTCCCAAAAAAATGCCCACAATCTGAAAAACTACGTCAGGAAAAAAACACTATCCCCTATTTAAGCAAACATTTACTGTACATTTCACAGGATACAGTGATTCTTCCTATTCATTTTTGTGCAAAATCAATGCAATGTTTTTTCAAGAAGCAATGAAGGAAAAAAAATGTATTATCAGGAGAACCTCCTCTATCCTACCTCCAAAGCCTGGCCGCATGCTGAAGTCATGGTCATCTATTTTGAGAAGTTGTTCTGACTTTATCAGTGGTGATTTGGTGATATCGGGACTTCGTTTAAGTATAGGGCTACATGGCAGGGAGACAACAGATACAATACAACAAATTATTCCTTAGTTTGGGAGTTGGGCCCCCAAGGAATCAGCACATATCAGAGGGGTAGGAATACGTTTTTCATATTTGTATTGATGAACAATATCCATAAATATTTAAAAAATGAGGATTTGCTCCAAAAATGAGAATAGAGTCCCTGACTTCACTGAAAAGACCAGGCGCATCAGATAATCCTTGAATATGTAGGAGTAAATGATAAAAATGATAACATGGTAAATGATATGCCAAACAATAGCACTGGAGAGAGAGGAACAAATAACATTACAGTGGCACTTGTAAAGAATTTCTAAGATAATTTTGCAACAATTTGATTACGGGGAACTATTAAAGAACTATGCATAATATAAAATCTAGCTGCAGTCCAAAAAAAGATATGAATACTTTATGAACTCAATAGAGCTGGGAGTATAGTAGCCAAACATTAGAAAAACGAAGTGTCTGAAAGCACTCCAAGAACTAAGAAGATAACAATTGTGCTGGCTCAGGAATTCTGGGAGTTGAAGTCCACGAGTCATAAAAGAGCCAAGGTTGCCTACGCCTGATCTAGAAACTGCTCATCCATAGTGTCATCCGAAGTACCTGAACTCTGGCTACAATCATATCTGAGATGGAGACATGGAATGCTATTTAAACCATACTAATTATTTACCATGTTGCAGCTCTATCTTTGAAACATCGTATGCAAATCTTGTTCAAATCTCTGTTCCTGTTTTGCTTTATTTTGGCAATGTACAAGTGTACTTCATAGAAGCACAGGCTGCACACTCAAATGAAGAAAGTAGTTGTTTCCTTCTCTTGGAAACCTCTCCCCACACCCTTGCACAATACCTTCTAGGGGTTATCTATATTGTCCCTTTCTCAGTCTGACTGTAGAAACACTTCTGTTAGTGGAAGAGCAGGTTGGATTCTAGACTGATGCACCACATTCTGTTAAAAGGGTAGGGGATTGAAGAGGAGGCCCTAGCAGAAGTGATTCTATCCCTTGCTGCTTCGAACCCAATAATCCATAATTTCTATTGCTTTCTAAGCAGAGTTGTAATGTGAAGCAGTCAAACAGTACATACATGTGTAAATTAGTCCTTTTAAAAAAAAGCCTGTGACTGCCAAGGAATTCCTGAGTTGCAACTCCTTTCTGCTGCAGTCTTCATGGGAAGAATTGTTGTGAGCCGTAATTCGAAATAACTGAAAGACCACTACTCTCCAGCCTGAAAAATATCTAAATAGGGAGCCTTTGTAGGTTCAAATTGCTTTGTTATATGTAAACATACACAATCAAAATAGGAAGGAAGGCATCCAGAATTTAGTTGGTGGTGTACTGCATATTCTTTGTAAGGGCAACCAACTGATTGTCATTCTTCCACCCAGATAATTGTTCAGTTTTAGAAAATGGCCTGAAATGAGATGTGAGTCCATGGACTGAACTCTATTAATTTATTAGAACTTCTGTCTGTGTGTATATAATATTCACATTTTAGACCACTATACATTGAATACAACACAACAAAAGAAGAAATAAAAATTTCCTTGCAGTTTTACAGTCCCTGGCCTAGAAGCTTCCCAGTGTGTTAGCTCTCCATCTCCTGAATTGGCACAGTTATGAAATCAATCCATATTTTTAATTTTTATTCTAATAAAGAAAATAGATGATCCCATGAAGGGGTTATAAAACTGGGAACCTCCAGATGTTAACAAACTAATGTGAGTTGGAGAACAACATCTGGAGGGACATAGACCCTTGGTCTGGTAGATATCTTGTTTGAGAATGGCAGACTAGGTCTTAGAGGAAGAATGAAATGGAACTCTCTGATATGCTGCAGGAATATAATTTACGAAGTTTTGAAATTAGTAAAATAATACATGTAGTATTGCCATCTAAAAAAACCCATCTCATTCCCTCCAATCAAACTGTTAAATCCAGAATTTAAAGTAGCAGAACCATTCTACTAGTTTCTCTTTTATATATGGGCATAAGAAAGGAAAAAAGCTATAAGAACTTCAATTTTCAGTTTATCACTTCAATTTTAGTTCCATACCTGCCTTGCTTGTGTGATGCTCCATGAGTTTCTCTTCTCTGTCTTTGTGGCTGGCTATAAAAACAGAAAGAACAACCAGACAATATTTAGAAACTCCCATAAAACTGAATGTATGCTTTAAACTTAATCAACATGTCAAGTCAAGAGACAAAGCAAAGTTTATGAATCAATCCCAGTGTAATCTAAGTCCACAGCAGGGAGAGACTTGGCAGTACCAAGTGTGTACATGCTAAGCCTCATAAGCTGGAGGTAATTCCCCCAAGGTGGTTATTTGAGCATATCCTAGGTGTAAAGGAGCATTTATAATATCTTGTTTGTGAATCAAGGATCCAGTTTGGGACTGCTGTTGCTGAGATACTTGTGCAAAACAACAAAATCTTCATTTTTTTTCTAATGATAATGACATTTAAGATTGGGGAAAGGATAATTCAGTCCATTTATGAACACCTGAACTCAACCATAATTCATAACTTGCAAACCCTATGCCAGTAGCATGACATTGACAAACAAAACACAATCTGGTCACTGGGGAACTCTAGAAAGACTTTGTAATTCATTACCAGATTGTTCCTCTTGCTATATGAACCTGAAAGCCTACGCCAGGGTGGCCTTGATCTAGATCTACATCTTTCCTGTTGTTGCTCACTGATTACCTAAAAAATAGAAAGCATACATATTTTTTAGACAGTAGAGGACATAAACTCAGAGGTGAGAACCTAAACCCTTCCCATCACTCAGACTCAATTATTACTTTTGCAGAGTAATAATAATGATACTCTGCATAACTGCATAACTGCATAATTCTGCTTACCCACATCTCCCCCACAACAAAAGGCACGTTCACTATAAGTATAGCTATTGTTTTGCAGGCCACTTTGAGAGATAGTTAACCCTGACGCTGAATTCTTGGGAATATCGCTCAGTTATTTCCTTGAAACATCACTTCCCTACTGACCTTTTTTAAAAAATCTTTTTCACTTGTGACATCAATTCCCATATAGTACTTTGAATCTTCCTAGTTTTCCATTGATGGTTCACTATTAATCTGAATTAAATGGCTCAGTTGGTACAGCAAGGATTCTACTCTTGCTGGTGGAAGACGGAGGTGACTTTTGAGGATCCATTTCTTGGATCCTCTAGAAATCTGTGTGGGGAACTGGGAGAATCTTAAGACTGCAGAAAGTGCCAGCTGCAGAGAGAAAGGGATTTGGTGAAAACTGGATCCCCTTTTCATATTCCTCTGCTCAATCGTGGAAAAGGAGATACAAATCCAAATCTTCCTCATCACTGGACTGCATATCCCACCTTTCATTATGAAGTCAGCAATATTTGGTTTATCAGATCAGATCCATTGCCTTGGTCTTAAAACAGCAAATATTTTATTTTAGTGATAGCCCCATTCATTTTGATTCCCTGTTTTTATTTTGGAGGGTGGCCTCCAACACATCCCTCAAGGGATAAGGACCTAAAAAAACCTCATTCTCTATGCCATAGCAAGGGCCATTTCAAGAGGAAAGGCATTATTAGATACAGAAGGCCAAGGATGTTTGGGGGAGGAAGAGAATAACAAGGCAGCAAGAAGGCAAAGATCGTAGATATTCATCCTCCCATTGCTTATGGTAGATTATTGAGCTCATTGTATGAAAACCAAAGGGCTTAGACAATAGTAGTTTAGTAGAAATGACAGCTGGATGTGAAGGGGAGGATGAAAACAGATAATAAAATGAGAAAGATATAAATAGATGCAATCTGGGTCATAGTAGGATTCCCATGGCAGCAGAGGAAAGAAGTGTATCTGCTTTGTGGCAGCAGGAAACTCTGTTCTTCCTCTCCCACCCACCCCTCAGTATCCCATCCGATCCCTCAGTTATTTGGCAAACTTGGCCGCCCTGCACACAGGGAACAAGGAAACAAACTTCCGTGCTCCTTAAGTTCTTCTTTCAGCAGTTCGTGTCAAGCTCTTAACTCACTAAAGTATAACAGGCTTGCTTGCAATTTTCCAATAACAAAATCATCCAATTAAAAGTAGCTCTGATCCCGACTAGGAATTTGAGAAGCTCTGCTAGAAAATTAAGGCTAACATTATGTTGGTTAAGCTAAATGGCTGAATCTGCTTACATGGGGTATACATGTTTACACCCCATAAAGAACATTTGTAGCTCAGGGTTGAAATAAAGGGACCTTGTTGCTCTCTCAGCTTGGTTGTTTTCTTGCAGACATTTTATTACCCAAACTAGGTAACGTGATCAGTGCTAGTAGAGAGTGGGGTTTGCTCTCATTTTATATTCTAGTGCAGTGGTTCTCAACCTTTTTAATGCCGCGACCCCCAACCGGTCGTAAGTCGAGGACTAAACCGGTCGTAAGTCGAGGACTACCCAACCGGTCGTAAGTTGAGGACTTTCCCTGCCCGGGAGCGTCGTGCATACGTGGTTCCGCCCCCTGCGCCGGCCGAGGCGTAGCTGGTAAGCGGCAGAGATGGAGCAGGGCGACCATCAGCTGGCCCAGCTCAAGGGAGGTAAGGCACCCGCCGGAAAAGGGGAAAAAAATGGCGGACAGCCTTGCTTGGCGACCCCCGTGAAATGGTCGATCAACCCCAAATGGGGTCACGACCCATAGGTTGAGAACCGCTGTTCTAGTGGTTTGCCCTGTCACTGTTGGTATGGGTGGTCTTGGACGTTCTTTGGTTGGGCTGTTTACTATTAGCTTGTTTGAATATAAAATGAGAGCAAACCCCAATCCCTGCTAGTACCAGTGCTTTTTTTGTAAAAAAAAAAAAAAAAAAAAAAAAAAAGGTGCCGGAACTCATACATGTCATACAACCCACCTTGCCTACCCTACAAGGTTCCATC